TCCCCCTGTTCAAAAAGGGGGACCAGAGGGTGTGCTCCAATTATAGAGGGGTCACACTCTTAAGCCTCCCTGGCAAGGTTTATTCGGGGGTCCTGGAGAGGAGGGGCCATCGGATAGTTGAACCTCGGATTCAGGAAGAACAGTGTAGTTTTCGTCCTGGTCGTGGAACACTGGACCAGCTCTACACCCTCAGCAGGGTCCTGGAGGGTGCAACGGAGTTCGACTAACCGGTCCAACTGTGTTTTGTGGACTTGGAGAAGGCGTTCGACTGTGTCCCTCGGTCAAACGAGGGACACTCTCTTTACGAGGGACACTCTCTTGACCATCTGGTCAGGATGCCTCCTGGATGCCTCCCTGGTGAGGTGTTCTGGGCACATACCACCGGGAGGAGGCCCCGGGAAAGACCCAGGACATGCTGGAGGGACTACGTCTCTCGGCTGGCCTGGGAACCCTTTGGGATTCCCCCGGAGGAGCTGGAACAAGTGGCTGGGGAGAGGGAAGTCTGGGCCTCCCTTCTTAAGCTGCAACCCCCGCAGCCCGACCCCGGATAAGTGGAAGACAATGGATGGATGGAATTTTCTTCCATACACTTCACCCACAGTGTAAAGTACCATGAATTCCTCTACAACTTTTGTATATTAACCCAGCCTTCAGTTTTCAACTTTTGCATGACACGTGTGGTTTTATTTTGCCTGGCAGAGTGGACACTCTTCATATGATGATTATTTAAATGCTTTCTGTATCAATAAGAGGATTCATTTTACATTCTTCTAGTTGAGGACTTTGTTTATTACAGACCCTCTGGGTCTTGAGATTTTGTGGGAAAGAAAACATAGTAGTTTGCCGTACTGTATGACCTTTGTTGTATATTGCTGTCAGTGCTGTTTGAAGTTGTTCTTGTCTAGAAAAACAAGTAGATTCAAACTGCAACTTATGTTGAGGTTTCTGTAAATTCACGTGGTATCTAATGCTTTTTAAAGTGAATTTGTGGATTATTGACTGCCAGTAATATTATTTTAAAGGGTACATTGGCTGTAGTGGCCTTTATTTGATAGTCAATTGACAGGAAAATGGGTAATGACAGAATGGGGAAAATATGCGGCAAGGGTATCCAGTCAGGAAGCAAACCTGCAACTGCCGCTTTGAGGACTAAGGCTGAGAGGACTGGGTTGTGCTTAACCTTTGCACCACTACAGAACACCCCACCAGTAGTATTTTAAATTTCATATTTCTATGTTGATCTACATTTAACACTTCTATGTTAAATGAACACATTCATAGTGTTAACTTTTGACACTATATACTAGTGTTAGGAACATCAACACTAATGTGTCTTAAATTTCAATTACTGAGTGTTGATTCAACTCTATCACAAATAATACTTTCATAAGTGTTATTTTAACATAATCAAGAGTGGACCAATATCGAAACTTTCAAAGTGTTAATTCAACTTCCAAAGAGTTGAATTAACACTTCCAAATTTGCTGTATACAGCTTACTGTTCATGAAGAGGAGGTAACTGATGAGGTTCCATTTTCAGGTATTTTTCGATAGCTTCAATGTTCACTGAAAAAAATAGTGCTGATTGATACATGATTTGAATGATTTATTTGAAACAACTTGAGAACTTCCCAACAACTGTAACAATCTAGTACTAAATATTTAGCATGTCTGACATCTCTCGAAGTTGCAATCTAGGTGGCAGTGTGACATGATTGTCACCTTGTTGTAAAAATATTTCATTGTAAAATCTTTTAAATTGTAAAATTAGAAAAACTGTAAAAATGTCATTGCACATCTTTTGCATTCTTTGTTGATTGGGCAAACAATTTGGATATTGTTTGAGTTAAATAACCCAAAAAATGTGAAATCCATATTCACATTTGGCCAGCTATCATGTCCATAGATGGCTTGCTAGATGCAAAGAGAAAGTGTTTTTCATCAATTTAGAAAACAGTTATTTTTATCAATCTGATTTGTGTGCGAACAGTGCAAACATGCTGAAAGCGGTTGTTAAATTGGTTGGTGAAGACCAGATTTCACTCAATCCTGAATCTGCGAAAACTCACTACTCTCGTGAACTTAAACATGGACAAAAGAATCCAAGACAACAATAAAATTATAGATTTGATGAAACATACCCCTCAGGACTGCAGCAAACCTCAAATAGTTCAGCGACAATGTCAGCAGTGTTTGTGAAACACATGCACAATAAAAGTTGCACAGTAAAGATAAAAGGAGTATTGCTGATGAAATGATCAGTACTGCTGACAGACGATGCTTTTCATTAGAAGCTACCTTTACTGGGCCCGAACCAAGACCGCTGAACAAAAATGTAATTATGGCAATTTAACGAAGCTTTCCATTGGCTCAGTCAACCTGTCTATCAACAAGAGTGTCCAATCACATGCAACGTTGCACGGTTGGGTTGGATTTTCTTACTGTGTACAGTAAAACTGTTTGTTGATGATAATTTTCTAACCTTTAGAGCTTTGTATGAACTTCTGGCCTTATCGCGTGAATTGTGACAGGTACGTACTGCTGCACAAATGGTTCAAATGTGCCTCTCACTGCAACACTCTACTATCTCTGTGGCTGCAAAGCCTTAAAGAGCCAGGAAGCTTGGAGTAAGTAATCAGTCAGATAGGAACTGCAACCATTCGTCCCGAGGTTTTTCAGGGGGTTCCTTTGGCGTTTCGGTAACAATTGTGTGTTAGAAGGCTAAGATCTAAAGTTAAGTCAGAGATGTCGTTGGAGGCCAGCCCAGTCTGGTTAGGAGCACTTTCAGCCGGGGGAGGGGAGAGCTTACTTCAATTTTTTTTTCCTTGCTTGTGGAAAACCGAAAGTAACTTTAGCTGAATGATCTGACTGAACCAGTGCATTTCTAGACAGAATCAACTTCAGACGATACTATTTTGGGTGATGTAACTCGTTAAATTTGTCATCTTAGCGAATAACTGCGTTCATCTCTGAAAAGCTGCGTTTCCGTGCTCCCTCTACAAGCAACACAGAGCAGTGAGGGTCACATCCGGTTTGCATGTTTAAATAAAGGTCTTAGATTTTAAATAACCAGTCCATATAGCACTGTAAAAAAACAACATCCATGCTTTATTTTCATAGAAATATTATTTATTTGTTTTTAATTTTTCAAAATAGTAATACTTTATGTATATAGCACTTTTTTAAACAAATGTTACTAAGTATTTCACATTAAAAAATACATTAAAACATCTCCATAAAAGACAAAAAGTACACCGAATCAATTAAAATACATAACTTTGTAAGACAAAATGAAATACAAATATATTTAAAAGTAATATTTTAAAAGCCCTATTATACAAGTAAGTTTTAACTAATGATTTAAAGGAAGATAAAGAAGAGGCCCGTCTAATTTTTTGAGGAAGAGCATTCCACAAACTAGGAGCCCTGTCCATGAAAGCCGTTCCTCTTTCTGTCACCAGTCAAGCTCTGGGAGTAGAAAGTAGTAAGATAGAAGATCCTTAAATCAAGATCTTTGATCCTGATTTATGATCCTACACCATCATAACTGTCTGCACCACTAGCTAGATATGATGCAAGATCACAAAGGGATTTAAGAACAATAGAATTTTGAAGTCAATTTTAAAAACCAATATAGAATTGCAACAGCTAATCTGAAAGTAGGTGGAGTAGTAGACACAATTGCATACACCAATGCAGAATTTTGTCATCTCTCACAACAAGTAGGTTTGAGTGTATCTGAACACAAAGTAAGGTGGGCTATATAGTTTTGGTCTAAACTCTTGTATCAAGAAGAACTAGTATAAAAACGTGGGGGGGGGGAAATGATGTATTGTTTGAGAGTAATGTCAAGTCAAGTGTATGAGACTCTGCCATCTAGTCCAACTACTCCTTAGAATATTAAGAATAAAAGGGAGGATCTACGCATCCCTAAGAAACTTTTCTAAACTTTGGGTACAGTGTGGAAATGATCTAAGGGTTTTCCACTACTATGGATATCTGTGTGACAAGAAAAAATACTTCAAAGATTATTACTTTTTAACCTGTGGACCTTAACTTCACTGAGACTCTGTGTTCTTAGAAATCAGCTGGATAAACAGCAAAGAAACTGTTTTCAACTCAATAATCTGAGTTGACAAGAATGGGTCTATTTTCTTCTATTGCAAATGTGCAGATAGCAGTGTTCATCTCTAAAAGTTAGACAAGTTAGACAAGATAAAAGTGTATCATATCGTAATTTTTATTTTTTATTTTTATTGGTGTTTTGTTAATAATGCAGTAATCAGCTTTTTTCTAGGTTTTGAAATGTTAATTAGCTTGAAAACTAATGGGGGCTTATTGTTAAAAGAAAGTTTTGGTTTCACATGTCATCACAAACAGTAAGGATTGCAACAAAGTCAATGACGATGCAATCAAGTCTACTGTCACCTAATGCATACTGAGGTAGATAAATGATCATACTTGATGCAATCACTTAATCTTCTCTTGACAGAAAAAAGTTTTACAGATAACAAACTGAACTTGATGACATTGTGTTAGAATTAGGATAAAATTATTGTAACTGACCGGAATCTGTACATTTGAGTGGTTGACTTCATTCACTATATTTCTGAAAATAAAGTGGATTTGTTTATGTTGTACTATCGGACAGTGTTCATTGCAAATCTGCTCCATATTTGAATAAACTGAAATGATTTAAAAATTCATTCAAAATGAAGATGCCAAAATGATACACATTAGATATTATCAACTTAAAGTCATTTTTAAAGAGTCCATTTAGAACTTCAAAGGACATTCACCCTTTCAAGAGAATGCAGGTGTATTTAACAATATTCCAGAAGCCATACGAGGTTTTAAACATTTTGAAATCGCTTTTTTGGCTACATTTTGTTCATGTTTTGATGTTTCTGTTTGGTTGGAGGTCGCCCTTTTATTTTGATATACATGTCTTTAGCTTCCTGCTTTTTTGTGACTGGATTTGTTAAACTTAACGGAACTACTCTCAGTACAGCAAGTGCTGAAGTGTTGTCATGTGTTAGTAAGTTAAAAATGTGAACAGGACCGATGATGAGAAGCTCCGGCTGGTTCCTGACAGCAGTACTTCAGGTATGGCCATGAGTTCCTCACAGGGAACTTGTGCTGTCAGCGGACTCTGAAAACCCAGTCCGCCTCTCAGCTTTGTGAGAAATTGTTACTATCGCTGCTTTGGACATGATGTCCGCCTGCTGGGTTATCCTTGTTATTATGCTGTCTCTTCCATAGACATCCTACTGGAAGGCAGCGTTAGGTCGAGCATTTTTGTGTTACTGTTGCAGCGTAGCTACAATGTGTGTCTAGCCTTTGATAAGCCGTGATAAAATGTCAAAAGCAACTAAGGTGCTCGGACTCTCCTCCCTCCCCCTTTCTCTCCTTCCCATACGCATCACAAGCTCAGCGCCAGCCGCATTCAAAAGAACAGTTGCTAAAAACCTTGCCAAGGCTTATGATAGAAGTTTAATAACTGATTCCGTTCTTATTTTTAACTAATAATGGTTACTGGACTTTAGGAAGCGCTGAACTATAAAACATAACATCTCCACATAGCAGGAGGCAGAGCTAGCAAGCTAACTAGCTACTTTATGCCCGGTAACACAGCTGCTGCCCAGCTAAACATTGCTCACAAATGTATGAGGTTGGTAAGGAAAAGCTTGATTTAATCCGGATTTTCTGGATGTCTTTACCCTGTGGTAGGGAATATGGGTGACATTATCATCGGGGAGTTTGACAGGAGTGTAAACCTTCTCTTTAGTTGTCGGAGGACGTGTTGGGGGGGTGTTCTCCTCCAACCAACAGCAAGATGGACTCTGATTCTGCTCGTCTGTCTCGTCATAGATCGACATTTTGCATGGAGATTAAAACAGTCTGTGTTCAGAGGCAGGAATAAAGGCTGTACGCCATTGGATCTTTTTACGACTGTAATCTCGCATATGATACATCGTTGGTGCGCGTGAGACAGTAGGACAGGACTTTTAGAGTAAAAATAGTTCAGTCCGACCGTCATCAGTCGGACCTGACGAACAAGTAAAGCTAAAGGTCCCTGCAGCTGCGCCACCTCGATTTGGACCAGTTTGGTTTGCATTGCTTTAAATGCATTCATTCGGTGGTCACGGGGATTTGGCCTTCATGTTTTCCTTTGGCCACATGAGTGGTTCAGCTGTACAGCAAGTACAGATGATCCACCCAACGTCCCATCCTACTTCAGGGCTGCTCCGGATTTTCGATGCATTCCAATAATGTTTCAGTAAAGTAACTTTGAACTCGTCTTTCCTTCAAGAAAGCTGTCGCTATGCAGAGCGACTGTAGAGATGACGGTGTAATGCATGACTGAGATCGCTGTCTTGTATTTTATAGGTCATCATCTTTGTATGACGGACTGTGCCAGCTTTGTCCTCATCATTCATTCAGCATTTCCATAATTTTTTCTTAAGTAAGTATTCCTGTTTTCACTCTGCATCCATAAGATAGTTTTAAGTCATTCATTGATGGAGTTTGAATTTCGTTTGTGCCAGGCTGCCCAGAATGCAGTCAAACACAGTGAGAAATGCAAACTCTTTACTTTTTGTTGCTTATTATTAATATTATTTATTTATTTTACTTGTATGTTGATTGCCAGATTGCAAGAGGAAGCAGTTATTATCAATTCTACATGGAGTTCCCATGTTCTCCTAGATTGCATGTTTTCTCTAGGAACTCTGGCTTTCTCTTACTGTTCAAAATGTTCTCTTACTGTTCAAGTTTCCTCTCCTCTAGAGTACTTTCAAATGGAGTGGCAACAGAGAACAACGCCATGTGCAGTTGAAATGAGACATGAAAATACACCAAATTAAGACATTTTTTTTCTCACTGTCTGTACTTTTCCTGTTTTATCTTATAATAACCAAAATTATTACCAATATAATGTAGATATTTACTTACATTTGCTCAGTATCAGGGATAATTGTCTTTTAAACTGGATGAATTGGATTAACTCTTTTGGGTTTTCCTTCCAAAAAGCTTATCAATTTACTGGAGTTCTGGTCCATTCCTTCTGACAGAACTGTCATAATTCAGTAAGAGTTGTGGCTGCCTAACTTACACTCACTCACCTTTTTCATATTTGCTCGCTACTTCTCCATAAAACAGGGCTTTGTGGTGGCCATCTCAAAATACTTTGTTGTCCTTAAGCCACTTTGTAACCACATTGGCTGTATGCTTAGATTTATTGTCCATTTGGAAGACCACGTACCAATTCCTCCTGCAAGAAAACAACCCCCCAACATGATGCTGCCACCTCCATGCTTCACATATACAATGGTACAAGCATCCACCATTATTCCTCTAAATGTAATAGCTCCACTTTTGTTGTAGATAGGAAAAGTTTCCAAAATGTCCCTGTGTGCATCTGCAAACTGCAAGTTATATGTTTATAGTTCTTTCAAAGTAAAGATTTCTTCTTTGCTGAGTGGCTTTTCAATCCATGTCGGTAGAGAACAGTTTGACTGTTGATAGTGACTCTCAACAGCTTCAGACAGCATTTCCACTGGATTTTTGGCTTTTGTTCTGGGGTTAATTTGCACATTTTGTACCAAAAGACATTCATCTCTGGCATACAGAACCCCTCTCCTTACTGAGCAATATCAGTCCAATATAAACTGTAAAACATATAAAATAGGGCATTAAGATGTGTTTATTCAAATTAATTTGAATGGTTTTCTGTCAAAGGAAACTCGACAGATTGCTGTCATTCACTGACAGCATTCACTACTCCTGGATGAGTACATATCACTTTGAAATGCCTTGCTGCTGAAATGTGCTATACAAATAAAATTTGATTGATTGATCGATAGCGGCAGCTACAAATCACCTGCATTGTGTGTTTTGTTCTGTTTTTTTTATTTATTTATTCTTTTTTTTTCATATTTATAGAAGAGCAACACATAGCCACACCATTGGCTGTATTCATTTTATTTTGTCATGTAAATATTTAAAGTGACTCAAGGAGAATACAATGCTTAATTATTTAATGAGCAATGAGTATATATGGAAAGCAGTTGGATGGGAGAATTCAAAACAAATCCAAACTTTTTCGTACCAGTTAAAGTTTGTTCAAGCTTTTCTTGTTGTTGCTGTTCCTCTGCTATGTTTCCTAATGCCAGATGTTCAGTTTCAGATTTGCAATGTACTTTTTAATGTACATTGCAATTAAAAAGTACATTGTACACTGTAGCTACAATTTTCTACAATTTACTAAAAAATTGTAGCTACAGCTCAAATGAGAGACATTGTATTTTAGATGCCCAAGTTTTTTGTGACCTGCTTAAAAACTTTTTTTTAAATTAAATTTTACATACTGACATACATAGATTAACATAACAGATCAAATTCCCACCCATCCCTCGCCCTCCCAAATTGGCACATCATAAAGCACTTACAAAGTCAAAACAAATAAGTACATCACAAAGTGAATACAAGATCTCAACCGTGGCAGGTCTGTCATTAACAATTTTTCATTGAAGGGATTTTAATATAGGATTCCATATTTTCTCAAGCACACTTACTTTATCTTCATTGTAATATTTCAGTCTTTCCAGATGCAGAGTATTTGCTAGTTCCCCCAACCAGAGATCAAGTCCTTTTTCCAAAATCTCAAAATCAACCTTTTGGCAATCACTGTAACAAACAAAACAGCCGTTTTCTCCTGCTTAATGGCTGATCGCAAAGCACTGGAGACCCCAATGATTGCAATAAGTGGTTCTGGGTCCCATTTCTTTCCAAAAGCTGTTGAAAAAAAAAGAAAACTGTTCTTCCAAAATGAGTGAAGCTGAACATGTGACCAGGAGTGTGTCAAGTTACCAATAGCCACCCGGCAGCGATTACAAACTGGAGACACGCTAGTAAAGAAAGTGCTCAGCTTCTCCCTCGAATAATGGAGTCCATGTAAGGTTTTGAACTGTATGAGATTATGTCTGGCATTGACTGAACAGTCTTGTACACTTTTCAAACCCTCCTCCCATAATTCATCGGATAGCTGCCCTAACTCATCCTCCCATGCCTTTTTTATGTGTCTACACGTATGTTATTAAAGATCTTATATGACACTGCCCCCTGATTGGCAGGATCAAATTTATTTATTTCCTCCAGAGTTTCATGTTTTGTTATAGTTTCAAAATCCAACACATTTTTCCTAACATACTCCCTCAAAAGACCGACTTAAAAGACCAACTGACAGCAGGAAAAAACTTGATGGGGGAAGATTATACTCAGAACATAACTGTGCAAAAGATGCAAAAGTTCCATTAATATATAGGTTGCCTATCACATCAATGCCTTTCATTCTCCACGTCCGAAAGACGGCTTTACTGAGACCTGGTGCAAAGGAATGATTTTCACAGATAGGAGTATCAAAGTAAACCTCTGGAGCTTTTATAAACTTTTGTATCTGTTTCCAGATTGTGATGGTACTGCTTGAAAACTTTTAATGGTCTCGCTGTGTTATGCACATAAATGGTCCTTCTGGTGCTCTTCCAGTAATTTATATAGGAGTTGCCACATCAGCTTCAGTGTTGCATGTTATTAGAAGTCGATAGGATTTTTTCTACATATAGTATGTACAGACAGAGTTTCTGATATTAAATGTTTTTCTTTTCCTTTAGGTGCGGTAGTACCATGAAGAGTGGAGGAAGAGGTAAGGTACAGCCTGTTGAGGAGGTCATTGGCAAAAGACCTAAACGTAAATGCCTGCAGTGGCACCCTCTTCTTTCCAAGAAGGCTTCAGAGTTTTCTGAGGAAGAGGAAGAAGAAGATGAGGAGGAGCTGGGGAAGGTTAGTAGCTTCAGTGGTGCAGGGTTAATTTTTTTTCTCCAGCCTGACCCTAAATAATATGTGCATTCACCACCAGAAGCGGACTCTACATTGCAGTTGATACATTTATTCTTAATAGGCAGGGCTGTGCAGTGAGGATCAGGACTCCCAAGTGCATAATGTAAGCACAACAGAGGAAGCTGAAGAAGACTCTAATGAACACCGGGCACGTCGGCCTATGAATGCTTTCCTCCTCTTTTGCAAGCGGCACCGTTCTCTGGTCCGACAGGAACATCCTCGTCTTGACAACCGTGGGGCCACAAAAATATTGGCTGACTGGTGGGCTGTGCTGGAGCCCAAGGAGAAGCAGAAATACACTGATATGGCCAAGGAGGTAATGCATCTTTACATTACTACTCTAGTGTAGTAAAGTTACGTTAAGCTCTGCCTTACATGCATACAATTTAACCTGAGTCATTTTTGAGAAAAAGCCAGCGATTCAGTAGCTCCTCGCTACTGAATTGCTTTTTCTCAAGCTCATAAAGTCAGTAGAGATTATGAACAACAGTGCTCACAGAAGCTTTCTTCATTACAAAGGCAAAATTAGGCTCTTTTTAACCCTGGTGAACCTCATGACAAAGTAGTGGCAGGTAAAACATGGAAGTTATGAGCATATTCTGTCTAGTGTAAACATTTACTCCCTGTTGTAAATTTGTTGGAATCTGTTACAACAATGCAGCCTCCAACTTCAGGTTGAATCGTTCAGTCTGTCAATCACAAATTCTGTATGTTTTTTTCACTCTAGAGTTGAATATAAATCTCTTCAGATTTCTCAGATACAATCTTTTGGTGTGGATGGACTTTTCAGGAGCTGAAGTTTTTCGACAGAAATAAGATCATATGATTTGTAGAAATTATGTGGTTTTACCTTTGGAAGGTTTTAGGCTCATGATAAAGTCGAAAGCGATATTGAACAAAGGAGGAGGTGATGGTTGAATAAAACTTAAGGAAGGTTCTGGTGTAGATGCACCTGATAACAGGATGTCGTTGTGAGAGTGCCACCAAAAGCAGCAATATAAGAGTGCAGCAATTCAGCTTCTTCATGAATGACAGAGAACCTTGACGTGTGAACCTAAATAATTATTTTAGAATAAGCAGGTAAAGGTACATACATGTGATTAGGAGGCCCGTTTCCAGGATCAGGTTCAGTCATCAAAGATTTTTGGATTTGATGTATATTAATGTTATGGTCCGCCCAACAAAGGAACAAGGACAAAGGCATATATAAAAAAATAACTTCTATTTATTTTTCCAAGAAATCTTAACAAAAGGCTTGCAACAACAATATCTTAGAAATATAGAAAAAATGGCCCAAAAGAAATCAACTAAGGCAGGGGAGCTCAAACTTTTTGAGACCAACATCTACTTTTTCTCTTACCAGCCGGCTGAAATCTACCTCATGACACGAAGACATAAAAACAGTAAATTAAACCCTATTGACTTATTTTCTATACAAATATACAACAGTTATATAAGAAATGATGAAGTGATAGGAAACCTAATGCAGTTTCTTCCTCAGTGAGATTCTGACACTGGAAGCAGGTTACTGGTTTCTCAGTCAGAAGCTGGTTGCAAACCTGAGGCCAGCAGCTGTCGGTCAGTTATGGTAGATCTGAAACTTTGGTTTGATGTCCTCAATATGAGAAACTATAGACTGATAGGAGGAACCAAAGACCTCTGCAGATGTAAAGGCAAATTTTCTGAATTTGGGATATAATTAAATTTCACATAATTATCGTGGTAGAAGCCATTTGTTTGTTAAAACTTAATCAAATTTATTTGTCCTATTTGATGTTTGTTATGACATATTTGCTGCAAACGAACGAGGTAATTAGTCCAAGTTTGTTTATTGCACGTTCAGAAACTCCAGCGGCTGTGATGAACCACAGCGAAGGTAAATAGAGGTGAAACAACCCAAACAGGTGATCAACTCAGAAGCACTCGCACCTTTTTACTCTCTCTCTCTTTATTGTGAAACACACCCGTTGCCATGGCAACCGCCTGCAAGCCGAGCAGAGATTACATTAAAAACTTTCAGTCCGTTATGATATCAGGTTTCCAGGCTTGATATTCAATTATCGATTATTAATAAGCCTCTCATGAACACAGTGGTGGTTGATCAGCTCATTTAAACTCCTGATCTGCTGTCAGTCGGTCTTTTGAGTCGCCTTTTTATTTGTCAATGAATCTGGAACGCAGCTTGATAATAATTACTGAGAATATTAATTTTAACACGTTTTGTTGATTTTTTTATTATTCTTTAAAGAAGCTACAAACGTTTTGGATCTTAGTGAATATTTTGATAAGTGTGTCAGAAGAGGAAGAGCTGGTCTCAGCATCCTGGAGGCCTTCAGTTTGTCACATACCGCCGAGATCGACTCAAAACCTTCCCACAATCGACTGGTCGATCGCGATCGACGTATTGAGCACCCCTGAACTAAGGCATACCTAACTCAACATGACAAACCAAAAACTGACTTCACACAATGAACACACAGCGGAATTCATACTCAAAGGCTAGCCTACACAAACTAGGAGGGGTGGGAGAGAAGACAAAGAGAAACGATACATAAATAACTAATTTAAATCGAAACATTTTAACTTTAACACAACTATAAAAACTAAACAACCTAACACCATAAATGTTTTAGCAGTTATGCTATTAGTAGGAAGAATCTTCATCATCAAGTCCCCTGGTTCCAGCAGCCTGATGGTTTGTTCCATTTCCTGGTTTGCCTTAAACCAATCATCTTCTCCCAGCCAGTCCTTCAAACTCAGCAAAAACAAAGAAAATTGTTAATGATCTAAATAAACATAATGTGTGCACCCAAATTAGTAAACAACCTAATACAAAACCCACCACCAAAAAAAATAATTAAATTATCAATGTAAAAACATTTAAATAAATGCTAACACTAAGGAAAAGATGGAGGAACCTCTACAATCGACCTAATATTATTGCTCGATTAGTGCTTCTTATTTGAAATCTCTTAAGGTCAGTCCCTTGTGCTTGGTTTTGTGGGAAACTACAGATTATGTGACCTGATGTGCAACTTGTGCATTTTTCAAGCTATATTCTTTGCCTAAAGTTACAAACACTAATGTTTACATAAATTCCCTTCTCACCCACCGCGGGTGGTTCTTATCCTCTGAGCTCGGGTCCTCTACCAGAGGCCTGGGAGCTTGAGGGTCCTGCAGTATCTTGGCTGTGCCTAGGACGGCACATTTCTTGACTGAGATGTCTGATGTTGTTCCTGGGATCTGTTGTAGCCACTGCTCCATTTTGGGGGTTACTGCCCCGAGGGCCCTGATGACCACAGGCACCACTTGGTCTTCACCTTCCAGGCCCTCTCCAGTTCCTCCTTGAGGCCCTGGTATTTCTCCAGTTTCTCATGCTCCTTTTTCCTGATGTTGAAGTCACTTGGTATTGCTACATCTACCACAACGGCTTTCCTCTGTTGTTTATCCACTACGACAATGTCTGGTTGGTTGGTTCGCCCTTACCATTTTGTCTGTCTGGATCTGCAAGTCTCACAGGATCTTAGCTTTGGGGGTGTTTCCCATTTTGATCTCGGGGTTTCCAGTCCATATTTTGCACAGATGTTTCTGTACACTATGCCTGCCACTTGGTTAAGTCGTTCCATGTACGTTTTCCCTGCCAGTATCTTGCACCCTGCTGTTATGTGCTGGACTGTCTCAGGGGCCTCCTTGCACAACCTACACCTTGGGTCTTGTCTGGTGTGGTAGATTTGGGCCTCTATTGCTCTGGTGTTTAGGGCCTGTTCCTGGGCGGCCAGGATGAGGGCCTCTGTGCTGTCCTTGAGTCCAGCTTTTTTCAACCATTGGTAGGATTTACTGATATCAGCCACTTCGGTTATTTGCTGGTGGTACATCCCATGTAGGGGCTTGTCCTCCCATTATGGTATCTCTGGCACCTCAACCTCCGTTCCCTGTTGTCTGAGACATTCACTGAGCACATTGTCTGTTGAGGCTTTGTCCCTGATGTATTTATGGATCTTAGTTGTTTCGTCCTGGACAGTGGTTCTCACACTCACTAGTCCTCTGCCTCCGTCCTTGCGGCTCGTGTACAGTCTCAGGGTGCTGGATTTGGGATGGAACCCTCCATGCACTGTTAGTAGTTTTCTGGTCTTAATATCTGTGGCTTTTATCTCCTCCTTTGGCCAGCTAATTATTCCAGCAGGGTATCTGATTACTGGCAAGGCATAGCTGTTTATCACACAGATTTTGTTCTTGCCATTGAGCTGGCTTCTCAGGACTTGCCTTATTCATTGGAGGTATTTAGCTGTGGCTCTTTTCCTTGTGACCTTATTGAGGTTGCCATTTGCTTGTTGTATACCTTGGTACTTGTAACTGTACTTGTACCGAATTACTGGAAGTCCTGCTTCCAGATCCTGGAAGTAGGACTGATGACCTTCCCCCTCTTTGTGACCAGCCGACCACACTTCTCCAGTCCGAATGACATCCCGATGTCCGTGCTGTAGATCCTGGTGGTGTGGATCAGTGAGTCGATGTCTCACTCACACTTGTTGTACAGCTTGATGTCATCCATGTAGAGAAGGTGACTGAAAGGCTAGCCTTTTTTGAGTCGGTATCCGTAACCAGTCTTATTGATAATTTGGCTGAGGAGGTTCAGGCCTATGCAGAACAGTATAGGGTCACCCACGAGCTCCGAAGCAGGGACCTAAAAAGCAGGGCCAGCGTCGAAAAAAGGCCGGTGGAAACACTCGCAAAGCGGGTACGGTCGAGCCGCAAATATTAGAGCTATATTGGAAAAGGGGCACAAATATCTTGAGTATCTCTGTGAGCATCAGTGCCTTCACCATTATAAATGATGTGAGGGTTTTTGGGTTGTTCACTCTATTGCTGGGTTTCAGATGATGTAGCACTGATGTCACCCAATGCAGACGGAGGGCAGGAATTAAATGCAGCCTATTTATTTATGTTGATCCAGCATCAAAATTCCTAGAGCAGGGATGTCAACATCCAGTCCTCGAGGGTCGGTGTCCTGCAACTTTTAGATGTGCCTCTGCTGCACCACACCTGAATAGAATAATTAGGTCATTAGCAAAGCTCTGGAGAACTGATCTACACAAGGAGGAGGTAATTAAGCCATTTCATTCCTGTGTTTTGTACCTGTGGCACATCGAAAAACTGCAGGACAGCGGCTCTCGAGGACTGGAGTTTGACACCCCTGCGTGTCATGTATGGTTGTTCCAACAGTTCTAATAGATAGAAAGATGAATGTTTTTTTGGGTTTTGAGTTTGAGTGATCTTTCTGTGACAATTTTGCCACTCAGAAAAAAATTTAGATTTTCTGAGTAGTGTTGAAATATCTACTTATGTCATAGTTGTAGGTCAGGCCGCCTTGTCTAAAACCCTCCTGAAGACTTTTAACAGTAAAGGGTCTAATTTAGGTTCAAGTGGCTCACAAAACTGAATGGCAAACCCCTCTCGGCTAGGTACTTTAACAGATTTCAAATCTTTGATAGCCTAATTTAATTCTGATAGAGTAGTATTGTTCTTCAATGTAGATTTATTTGAGGCATCTAGAATGTGCAGGACTAAATTACTGAAAATTGCTTACACCAGGGTTGAATCACAAGTTTCAGAAGCACACAAACTTTCATAAGACTACTTAAACCTAGCATCAATATCATATATATTACTTATTTCAATGAAAATATCTAATTGTGAACTCAGTAAACCACTATGAAAAGGTGGAAGACATATTTCCTGGGAAGCTGAAGTACAGAATTACTGGAGAAGGATCCAAATGACGATGTTGTGATAGTTTACTCCGGAAACCATAGGCATCATTTTTTGTTCAATTAAAAAGTAGTCTATTCTTTCTGGGTGTACTGAGGAGAAAAATAAAAATAGGCTGGATGACAGATATATAAATCTTAAGGTATCTATTATTCTACAGTTAGGATTCAACTGTGTGACTCTGTGATCTGGTAGAATGGAAAAACGATTGTTAAGGAAGTCCATATTATCCCAATTAGGACGATAACCATTAGCGAATTGACTGGCCTATCAAATTGTTCACCTTGTGATTGCAAACTCAGTGAAAATATTGAATGCTCAGATGTTTCTAGACGCATTCATCAAATTGGTTTCCTGTAGATAAGAAGTGTAACTTTTAAACTTATAATGTTGAGAGAATATTTTGTTGGGTTTCACTCGATGACTTAGTCCCCGGACATTCCAGTCCACCAAAGTGATGTTGGTCAGTGCTCTATTTACTGAAGACATAATAAGAACTTGATAAAAAGGATATTTAAGAAAACATGACACAATGGAAAAAACGGCATAAATAACAAGTCAAGTAAACATAAAAGATTATTGTGACGAAACAAAGTTGGTTTAAAAAAGAAACTGCTATATTTTAAGTTCTCCACGTTCATCTTTTCCCTATCCAAATTGTTTAAATGCTCACCGGCTTACTGGTTTTGTGCTTCACACAAAAACCAGTATGATTATGAAAAGACCTAACTCTGAAATGTCTAGCCAGCTTAGGGTAATGTCACAACACATATACAAAGTATATTATGAGACTCTAAGGTTTGATGCCCTTTTCTTTGTTGTACGTTTTCACAAATTACCCCCAATGCGTAACTCCTTAGTGCAGAAGAAAATAAAGGGGTATGAACAGTAGTGGTAATGGACATACTCATCAACTCTTTTAGACCCACAGAAGGTAGTGAATAAATATGGCGTGTAAAGAGAACTATTTATGTTTTTTCCACTTTACAAATCAGAAAAATGAAAACAAATGTTTTCATTTTGATTGAATGCAACATGGCTACAGTTGTTTTCAACAAGATCACTTCTTTTTATTTTGCTCTTCTAGTATAAAGATGCATTTATGAAGGCAAACCCAGGCTACAAGTGGTGTCCCACCACAAGCAAGCCACTCAAGAGCTCTTCCTATCAGCATGTCAGCTGTTCTCGCAAAAAGGTGTGGTCCTTCTCCTGCAACTCACCCAAGGATTCTACTGCCAAAAATGTGCCCAAAAACGACAGTTTGCACCAGTTGAACTTTGCCATGGCAGGTGGGTTTAATAGCATAGTAGTAAGATGATGAAGAATTGGATTACTTTTCTAACTTGTGCCATTATTTTTAAGACCCCACAAAGATGGGAGGCCTGAGCATGCTGCTGTTAGCTGGTGAACACGCCCTCACAAACAGGGAGGTAGGGTCTTCTCAAACATCTTTTGAGGCAAAAACTGGAGTTGTCTAAAAACTAAATTTTTGAGTTTCTTCATTTACAAATATGCTTTTGATTTTAAATTGTATTTCTAAAAGTTTGACGGTTCTTTACTATTATCTGCCTAACCCTAGAAATGTTTTATTTTCTAGATCTCTCCCAGCACTAAATCTACATTACCTGACATAGCCATTAAAGGAAGCTCCTTTTCAGAGGAAACTAAAGAGGTTTGTTCTTTATTCAAAGTCTCATTATTCCTTCTGCTCCTTTCTGCAATAGAAATGGCAATTGTTACATTATTCAGAATTGCATAATAAACAGAAAAGAATATCTATCATTCTGAAAATGATAGTTTGATAGTAAATTGTCTGGTGGAATGATAACTTTCAAAACTGAATGGGCTTTAGCTAGTGTTGAAAAAAATACATTTATTTCTTAATGGATGATTCTATCATTGTGTTGTTTAGTTCAAAGTTTTTAAATTCAACGTTTATTTATAGAGTACAGCACATTAACAACAATCTCAGCTGAACAAAGTGCTTCATAAGAGTTATAGAGTTACAGATAGAAAAGAGTATAAATTTCAACTTCTATGTACTACAAATCTGGAACAAATTTCCAGAAAACTGCAAATATGCTAAAACACTGAGTTTCTTAAAATCAGTTGTTCCCAAAGATTTTCTTCTGGGTCCCCCTGTGGATTACAACAAAACAAACAAAAAAAAAACAATTATTCACACACATTATTCAACCAGACATAAACCTATACTCATTTTTTTTTCAAACTCCACTGAAATTTATTTCACATTTCAGATTGCAACAAAACAAACTTCCAACCATCTTTACAGTGAAACACTTTTGTATAACTGTTTTGTTTTTTTCATTCGTCCGTACTGCTTCCCACGCCCTTCTTTGGGACCACGGCCCACACTTTGGGAACCACTGCTTCAAATCAAGGCTAAAACCACCTGTTTAGAGTTATTTTTGAACCATAATAAATAGAACATTGACCAACATATCTCATGTGTATTGATAATTTTGATGATTGTACTCTCCAAAAGTTTCTCAAATTGATGACAATGGCATTTTTATGACTTTTTAGGTTTGTGTTTTTATGATGTAAAGCACTTTGAACTACCTTAACTACACTCAACAAAAATATAAACGCAACACTTTTGTTTTTGCTCCCATTATTCATGAGATGGACTCAAACATCTAAAATTCATTCCTGATAAACAATATTACCATTTCTTTCAAATGTTGTCCACAAATCTGTCTAAATGTTTGATAGTGAGCACTTCTGCTTTGCTGAGATAATCCATCCCAGCTCATAGGTGTGCCACATCAAGATGCTGATCTGACATCATGATTAGTGCACAGGTGTACCTTATACTGCCCACAATAGAAGGCCACTCTGAAATGCGCAGGTTTGTCACACAACAAACGCCACAGATACCGCAAGCATTGAGGGAGCGTGCAATTGGCATGCTGACAGCAGGAATGTCAACCAGATCTGTTGCTCGTGCATTAAATGTTCATTTCTCCACCATAAGCCGTCTCCAAAGGCGTTTCAGAGAATATGGCAGTACATCCCACCGGCCTCACAACCACAGACCACGTGTAACCACACCAGCCCAGGACCTCCACATCCTGCAGGTTCACCTCCAAGATCGTCTGAGACCAGCCACTCAGACAGCTGCTGAAACAATTGGTATCTGTGGCATTTGTTGTGTGACAAACCTGCGCATTAAATATCTGGCTTTATTTTAGTCCGTCGGGACCAGAACCTCAAGGTTCTCCAATAAAGAATTTCTCTGCAAACATCAGCAGAGTTGAACACAGCTGCTGCATGCTGATGTTCCCTCATAATAAAGGGGAACAGACCGTATAATGGAAAAGCTCTCTACTTGGGTGTAGAACCAAACCGCACATTAACCAGTTAGTGTACAAATTTCCTGTGGAAAAGCATATATAGTATTGACAGTGCAAAAAGGCCTTTAAAATAATTCATTGAATAAGATAGATTGTTGCTCATACTAGTAACTGTAAATAGTGTTTTTGTATCTGAAATTTTAACAATGCAATTACTATTTAAAGCAATTTCCATTGCTTTAAATGGTAATTGAACAAACCCAGTTAACAAGATACTTTTTACAACTTATAACTTACCATAAAGCTAACCAATTTTTGTTCATATACCTCTGTAGATGTTGTCTCAAACAATTCCCAACAGAGTGCCTGATATTGACAGCAGGATGAAGACAGGGCTTTCCCTGTTGGAAGAGGTAGGAATACATTACCTACAGTCATCAGTATTGTCATATCCATCCATTCATCCATTTTCTGTACACCCTTTCCCCAAGTGAGGTCAGAAAGTTTGCTGGTGCCCATTTCCAGCGAACGTTTCGGGCGAGAGGCGGGTATTGTTATAACTAATGATTGAGTTTGTAGAGTCCCATTTTTGATGGAAATACTTTGTCGCCGCCTTGTGGCTGAAATAGTAATACCCTTAAGACAAAAAACACTTTTTAGACTGTCATTTTAAATGATTTAAGGAAAACATATATAGCAAACTGATGTTTGTTTGCAGAGTCAATGCGTCCCTAATATGCTAGGCTTATGAACAATCCTGAATGCACTTATAGCATAAGTATTCTGTAGCTTTAATTTAAAATTTCGAACAAAATGTCAGTTCTCTACAATGTATTTGTCTTTGTCTTTTCTGATATTTTGGAATCAGGAGATATGATCAGGAGGCCTCAAACATTTTACTTAATAAAATACAGGTTGAATAAAGAAAAGAAAAAAATGTTTATTCACAAAGCAAGTGATGCAGAAATGTTTAACATTTAAGTTCATGGCTCTGATGCAAACATCATTGTTGCACATCCCTGTAAATGTAAGCTGGACTTTCCCATGTTGTAAAAATTGGATGTGGGAAACTGAATATATATTGCAGTACACATGAATCTCAGACCCCATAATTTCAGGTCTTTAAAGGACATCAAACTGGACAAATATCTGTCTGTTAAGATCATGAGAGATTGTAGCATGACCTATATAGGTGTGTAGAATATTTTATCATTGACCTTAATAGAGGTCAATGATATTTCCACATGAATTCAGACCAAAAGAAGTTATCCCTGATACTGACCAAATATATATAAACTCTTGAATTCGAGGAAAGATACAAAAAAATTCTAAAAATATTCTGGAATATTTTATCATTGACCTTGCTAGAGGACATTCACCATGACATTTCCACATGAATTCAGACTTACTTTGGAGCGACTGGAGCATTGCCAGAAAATGCCAAGTTTTCTGGCATTTTCTGGCAATTATTTATTTGAAACAAAAATAATGTTGGTAATTCTAACTAAGCTAAACAGGTAAGGTTTGGTCTGATGCTAATTAGTGAACTGATAGAAACTTTGGACAGTGAGAAGAACATTGTTTGTGTCTTTCTATTCAGTAGAATAGTTACAGATTTGACAGAATTATATATGTGGCTACACTCTTATAGCTTGCCACCATCAGAGTGTGAATGTGTGTGAATGACTGAATGTAGTGTGAAGTGCTGTGGGGTCTTCTGGACTTGATAAAACGCTATAAAAATCCAGGCCATTTAGCATTTTACTGAGAGCTTCAGATGAAATATGTGCACTTTTAAATGATTTCAGTTATTTTTTTAATCTTTTAAGCAAGTTTTAATTAACAGCTTCAACCATTGGGATTCATCAAGAGCCAGCTAATTTCATCACTTAACATAGTAAAAGCTGAAGTCTAGATGTATATTATTCAGTCTGTTAGAATCAAACAGAATTATTGTATAGTACCAGAAAGAAACAGGATGGAGAACTGATTATGTCATGGTGTGTTCAGTCTTCCTTGTCAGGCACCCCTGAAGGAAAACCATACAGACAGTCAGCTCTCTTCCAGCTTGCAGAGGTAAGTGAATCATCTTTAAAAGATGCATGTTAAATTAATTAATGTCATAAAGACAATGACGTAACCATGTCTCAGAATCTAAAATTTTAATACCTGAATACAGGTTTAGGAAGGTCAAAATATTGTTGACAACAGAACTTTATTAATCCAGGTTTTTGCAGATAATAGCATACATTAAATTTGATCGACCAAATCTCCATATAGATGTCAATCTTTTAGGACATTTTAGGAATAATATTTAACTTTCACAAATTTCCAAAATAGCCCATCTGATTTATAGTGATATTTATATCTAGAACTTACAATTTTTGTTCCTTGTGATATAATGAGTTTATATCACAAGGACACTTCAGGAAAGTTTTTTTATACCAATCTGTTTGGACTGCAGTAATTGTTGGCTAATATATTTTAAGAGTTCTGAAGTTCTATTTTTTATTCTGATGCAATATTTATCCAGTCGGATTGAGTCTCATAGGAGCAAAAACCCACCACTCTTTGATGCCACCCTTTGGTCTTCCTTGCTCACCTTTTTACTTGCATTTGCAACTCTGCTTTGTTGAACATACAGTAACAGTGAGCTCAACACACAGTAGCCAACATTGCTATCTCTTGAGATCTGTGTTTACTAAAATACGGTGTCTCATATTTAACAAAACAACATATTATTATTACTATTATTTAGTTACACTGTAAAATTAAGAAAATGTTGACAAAGTTTTTTAATATAAAACAATGTTTTATATGTAAATTTCTACAATTAGCTAAAAACTGCTAAGTTAATCAAACTAGACTTTGTTTGAATAATTAACAGGGTTTTTTTTCCCATTAATCTTTGCATTTTTTGTTGTGCAAAAGGCAATGCCCAAAATATTTGTCAGAAGTTCTAAATATTTGCCATGGGCACATAGCATAGTGCTATCTGTGTATTATGCTAGCAGCAACAATTGTTGCCATGCTTACATTTACTCTTCTTATGATCAATTTTCTTTATATATCAGTAAAAGACACTTGAAAGAACATGTGTTCAAAATAGTTTATTTATATTTCATTATGATTATGGGATATGTGGGGGATATTTTTGAAAATACAGATTCACATAATGTAATTGTTTGTTGTTGTTGTTTTTTTAGATGTGTTTGGCATCAGAAGCAGGAAAAATAGACTCAATAGTGTCTCAGCCCAATGACAACTGCTTCACAGCAACACTCAAGCAAATATCCAGGAAGCCAGGAGTTAAGGAGGAGAGAGACAACTCTGACTGCCGTAGTTCTCCTGATAGATCACCTTCCCCTCTGTCTCCTTCCTCTGGAACATCCACCCCCACTGCTCAGCATTCAAGCCAAAGTGGATGTGTCAAAAAAAAGTACAAGAAATATGAGGAAGTGAAGTGCAACAACATCCCATTTTCAGAAAAGAGAGTGGGCGTGAATTGTCAGCACTTTGAATCCAATGTGGACAGGACCATTGAGGCAGTAGCCAGAGGAGCCTGGATTGACAAAGAGGATAAATGCAAGAAGAAGACCCCTGCCAGTCTAATCAGTAGAACCTCTAGTCTGCCACAAAGGAAAACTAAGACCAAAGTTAAGATACTGGTTAAAACGAAAGAAGAGGAGTTGGAAGACAGCAGCAAGCTGCAGGGATCTTCTGATGGGGAAAGAAAGAAAGTAGTGCCTGGCATTGAGACCAAGATTGAAGCAGAAAGTGTAACTAGTGAAAGAACAGGCCTTCAAGGCTGCATGATAGAGCCTCCCCAGCTCCACTGCGACCAATCGCCGGTGAAGCCCAAAGAAGAGGACAAGGAGAAGCACAAGGAGAAAGAACAGCAGAAGGCTAGTGACACAACCTGTGAGCTGAACACACACAACCATGGCTCCAGAAAATCTGAGCGAAGCTGTAAGGGGGCCTTGTACAAAACTCTTGTGTCTGAGGGAATGCTAACTTCACTGAGAGCCAATATAGACAGAGGTATTTAATTTGAATTCTCAACCAAATAGATTAACCCATTTAATCCCAAGTTTTTTCCTGCAAAAAAGTGCATGCATTTCAATCCTTGGACCTCCCTAACATGATATTTATGAGTTATTACATCTTATGTTGGTTATGTTTGTGAAAATGTAGGTTATATACTTCATAACAATTGTTACCGGTGGGAAACTGCATAGATTGAATTACAGAAATCTAAAAAAAAAATAAGAAAAATTATGACATGCATAACCTTTATAACAAAGAATGGTTATAAGAATGTTCAAAAATATTTTAGATACATAAAGATTCAGTACTACATCCTGCAGATGTCATTGTTTCAATGTGTCGAGTGACCTTTGACCTCGTGTAATCATTTCATAAAAGAGGCTAAATCAGGTAAAATGTTAGTATGTACAAATCTGCATCTGGGAGGAAATTCTCCCTGTTCTACCAGACCAAGCAGTACACCTTTACCCTGTCCTAAACTAGATTCAGGTGTAGTGTCATCCTGTAGTGGTCATTCAGCTTTGGGAATGACAGTTATATAGAAGACATCATTTTGAGGTTCCTTCAGGTCTAGAAGATCAAAAATATCTGATAGTTTTAAGCTGTGTGGGAACAGCAAGGCATATAGAATAAACAGGAACGCCATGGGCACATAGCATAGTGCTATCTGTGTATTATGCTAGCAGCAACAATTGTTGCCGTGCTTACATTTACTCTTCTTATGATCAATTTTCTTTATATATCAGTAAAAGACACTTGAAAGAACATGTGTTCAAAATAGTTTATTTATATTTATTTATGAAAGTATTTTACAGACTTCCTCTTGTACATGTTTGTGACAGACATTTACAGGCAGAAAGTAAACAGGTCTGGGCGTGTGACCTTTCACACTAGATACATGAAATTGATATTGCTTAGAGTAGGCACATATTTTATTCTAAAACTTCAATTAGCTGCCAAAAGTCAAAACTATTATTTGAGAGCTCCCAGAAGTTAGAAAAAAATGTCTGGCAACAATTGTTGCCGGTGGGATTCAATGGGTTAAACATACCATTCTAGTCTTGTGAAAATATGTAGTTTAGGAATGCTGATAAACGTATCTAATATGGCTGACTCATTTCTGCAGGTAAACGAGGTGGTTTACGCGCTTTTGATCATGATTCTAACTGGAGTCAGGACAGCTGGTCAGTTTCACACTTGGGACCAAGTAATACCAAGAAGCTAAAAAAGTCCAAGTCCAAAGAAGAGTCTTCACAGAGGTTTGTCATATCCCACCACAAATACATTTAAGCTATGTAAAATCTGTAGAAAGTGCTAAATATTAGGGTGATGGCAAGTAGGGCTTTCAGTCTTAAGGACTTTGGGTTCATCACCAATGAAGACTTGTAAGAATATCAGCAGAAAACATGACATATCTCCTGTGTTATGCAATAAAAAATTATATATTTTCCAAATTTGATTTCCCTTTACATTACATCCTTTGAAAATAGACTGCTCAAAAAAATAAAGGGAACACTCAAATAACACATCCTTGATCTGAATGAATGAAATAAATATGAAAATAATTTCCACCTGTTGTCTATTCCATTTGCACAACAGCAGGTGATATTGTCAATCAGTGTTGCTTTCTAAGTGGACAGTTTGATTTCACAGAAGTTTGATTTACTTGGAGTTATATTGTGTTGTTTGAGTGTTCCCTTTATTTTTTTTGAGCAGTACATAATGAAATGATATGCTGGGGTCCTTTCCTATCAGAATCAAGCTTCTTGGTTGAAATAGTTTCATTTCTTTGAAAGCCATTTAACCTCCAAAGTGATGGAGTGGCACAGGGGTTAAGCACAACCCACATGTAGAGGCCTTAGTACTCAATGCAGCCATCGCAGGTTTGATTCCCAGCCTTGTTACCTTTGTTGCATGTCTTTTCCCTTCTCTTGTTATCTCCTTTCCTTTTAATTCATTATCAAATAAAGGCGACTAGAGCCTTTAAAACCTTTAAAAAAATGGCACCATATAATTATTTCCTGTACTGTTTGTGATCTAATATTGGTCTTGATTTTTCAGCCTGGGAAAACTAGAAGAAGAGTTTGAAAAGAAGTTCAACAGCCTGCCACAGTACAGTCCACTCACCTTTGATAAGAAAGGGACAGCTGTTGCCAAGAAAAAGAAAACTGACTGCTCCTCTAGCGTAGATGAACCCTCTAAAGCTCCAAAAGGTCAGAATGCTGTTTATATCAAAGGTCACTCCACTGAACAAAGCAATGACAGGATTTCCCTCAGTGTATTATAAGTCTTTTATTTATTTAATTTCTTTTTACTTTAAGCCAACTGCACACATTCTTCACTGGCAGGGCAGAGTTGTTCCTGTAAGATGGGTTTATACTTTATGCCTTGAACATGGTATAAAAGCAAGAAAGTGCACCAATCACACTGCTGGCACCTTTGCAATTTGGCCACGCTATTGTGGCTGGATCTCAAAAGTTTACCTCGATGCAGATCATGAGCTCTTTCTTTCACTTAAACTGGACATAGGCTCACCTGAGTGGACATTTATATCAACCCCCTGTGAGCACTCATGTTTCTTTGGAGAACTCTACATCAAAGCATGAGTCAAGTTTAAAAGTGACCATGTTTGCTCAGGTTGTGCAGCTCAATGTGAACGCAAATATACTGTAGGTGCGCGTTAACTGTACAGTGAGAATGGTATATCTGTGTAAGCAAAGAATTATGTGTGGCATGTGTGTTTACATCTCAACATGCTGCCCAGCACATGGCTCTGTGTCTGCGCTGATAAAGTTTATGTTCCTTGGTTAGACTTGCCTTAGTGGACCAGTGGTTCAGCCCATGGAGGATGTATCGCACTTGACTTTTAGTCCTGCAGCATGGTGGTTTTATTTTATTTTCTCTTTATTTTTTTATTTATTTGTGGTGACATGACACTTCAAAATGCACCATATAAATGCTTTGTTTACTTACACTCAGGCAGAGTGCCTATGTGCACAGAGATCAGGAAAACCAAAACAGTCTCTGTGGGGCTTATCAAAAACTCAATTGAAGATCTACAAAGGCCACATAGCAGATCCACATAAATTAAATCTTCCTGTTTGTCCCTCTGTTTCCAGCAAAGAGAAGTGCAGTGCAGTGGATTTAGCTCATCATGCAGGGTTGGTCCAAGGTTGTATGTGGCCTTGAGCAGAATTTGAATTATAATTTTCTCATACTTTTAGAGCACAAGTGCAGCAAAGAATAAGGATCACTATAGAATAGTTGAGGAAATCCCCTCTGATTCCTCTGATGACGAGTGTAATGACAGCAGTAATGAGGAGTGGCTGCCAGGGAACACTACAAATATCGGAGATACGGATGATGAAGGAGATGCAGATAATCAGGGGGGTGAAAGTAGAGATGATGAGAGCCAGGATGATGAAGGACAGGGTGCAGAGGGAGGTCACCAAGATGAGGGAGCTGAGGGAAATGTTCACATGGTACATGCTCAGAGAAAAGTTTACAAGGGGAATGCCTGCACTCAACCCCGCAAATATGTCTGGAAAGTCCAAGACAATAACTTTGATGGAGACTTGCTACCTTTTCTAGGAGAAAGAAGAGTTGATGGAAGAGATCCAATTGCTTTCTTTACGTATTTGTTTCCCTTACATCTCATTGATCAGATAGTGCATAACACCAACATGTATGCGCTGCAGAAAGGGAAAGAAAATCTGGCAGTGACAAGAGAAGAAATGCAAATTTTTCTAGGGATCAACATGGTCATGGGATACATTCGGTATCCTAGGACACGGATGTACTGGTTCAGTGAGGCTGGCCTTCGTCTTGGAATAATTGCAGATGCTAAGTTATCTCCACTTTGTGGATAACTATACCCACGAGCCAGCAAACACAGACAGGCTCTTCAAAATAGCACCAGTGCTAAACACACTTCAAAAAACATTTCTGATGGCAGCAATCCATGAAGAATTCCAATCAATTGATGAACAAATCATTCCCTTCAAAGGCCAACTGTCAATTAAGCAATACATACCCAAAAAGCCCAAACCCTGGGGAGTGAAAGTGTGGGTCAGGGCAGGGTCCTCAGGTTATATGTACAAATTTGAAATATACCAGGGCTCAGCAATTAGGGGTCAGAGCAGTGGTTTGGGAATGGCTGGAGATGTAGTGATGTGCCTTTGTGATGACATAAAGCACAAAAACCACAAGGTGTTTTTTGACAACTTCTTCTGCCGCATTTCACTCCTTGAGGCCTTGAAAGATCTTGGCATCTATGGCACAGGTACATGCAGAACAAATAGAGTGAAAGGAGCAAGTGAGAAACTTAAGAGTGAAAAACAACTGAAAAAAGAAGGCAGAGGAGCCTGCTCCGTTGTCAGCACCAACAGTAACATCACTGTCACACGTTGGCTTGACAGTTCAGTCATCCACATGGCATCAACCTGTGCAGGTCAGTCCCCTGAAGACACGGCCCAAAGATGGTTGAAGAAAGAACAAACCATGGTCAGTGTCCAAAGACCATACTCGGTGGCCCTTTATAACCAACACATGGGTGGAGTGGATCTCGTTGACCAGTGTGTGGCAATGTATCCCCACAGACGTAGAAACAAGCGATGGTACATCAGAGTGTTCTTTCATTTTTGGATGTGACTGTTGTAAATGCCTGGCAACTCTACCTGATGTCTGGATTGGAAAAGATGAATCTCCTCATCTTCAAAGCTTCTGTGGCCTGTGCGCTGATAAATTCTGGCTCCACTCAGCAAAAAAGAAAAGGAAGACCCAGTGGAGTCCAACCTCCAGCAAAGTGCAGAGTAGTGACCAAAGTACCCAATGAAGTCAGGTTCGGAACAGGAAATCACTGGCCCGAGCTCACCCAAGTCAAAAATGCAAACAGATGCCATGACGCTGCATGCACAAGGAAGACCAAATACATCTGCATGCAGTGCCATGTGGCACTGTGTCCTGGATGCTTTGCCAATTTTCATGTTGCCTAGGAGTTAGAAAAATGAGTTAGGAAAGAAGTTAGAAGAGGAGTTCTGGAGATACAGCTGTTTGATGAAGATTGTTCTCTTGGTTTGGATTAACTGAAGGGCTATAGTATGTTAGAGTGTATGTAAGCATGTTCAAGTGCTTTTTAAAGCCCACATTGAAATATGTGGTCATGGATTCATAATAAAACTCAGATGAAATTATTCTTCAGTCAAGTTCAGAGTGTTCAATGTTGAGTGCTGAAACGCATGTAGTCCACGTAGTGGACATTTCTGTAACTTCCTGGAAAAATAAAATTTTTGAAAAATAAGTTCATATTTGTTTTTTTCATGCCCTAAGAAGAGTATAAAGACATCAAAAAAAATCTTGACTCAAGGATTCATAATTCATGCATCAGAGGGTTAAGGGGCTCGTCTTGCTGCTAAGAACATCAGCATCACTAACAGCATTAGAATTACAGAAATCTGTTTAATTGGCTAACCTTAAAAGTGATCAGTGATAATTGTAGTTTACTGCATTTTGTGAACAAACAGAACTCTAAGATTAAACTCATAGCTTCAGATTGTAGCTGTGGCAACAAAGCAATCTAACTATGATGATTGTTCTTTGCACTTTTACAAAGTGAACTTGCCGGCTCCTTAAAATCTTACATTTAAATGTGAAACAATTTACAATCTGTTAATATGTCTGTGCTGGAATTAGGGGTTGCACAAACTAGTCCACTAGTCGGTTCTTTACTCTGCAATGACTTTACCAGGCTAGTCAACTAGTCCTAATCACGTGACAAAACTGATTTTTTCAGATTGTTTCTTGTTCTTTTAATTCTGCATCATAGACTTGGTAAAAGTGTTTTTTCTAATCAATATTTGCTGTGACTATAGCTGATAAAGCCTCCAAGTTGATGTGAAGCATTTTGTCATCGCGACCAGTCGACTTCAACTCAACTTTTATCATGTTGTAGTTGACCTTAAAAAATATGAAGTTGTTCAACCCCTATGCTAGAACTATTGTATTAAATCAAATTGAACAGCTTTGACATTTTCAATAGACAAATGGTAGATTTCTATATCTGTTGTCTATATTAAAATAAATATTGGCATTTATCGGGTTCTTTAAGGCCATGGGGCCTGAAACGGCTGCTGATTTAATTTGGATTTAACAGAAGTGCAAATAATTGATATTTATTTTAATTGTATATATATATATATATATATATATATATATATATATATATATATATATATAAAAATCCCTTCTCACCCACTGCGGGTGGTTCTTATCCTCTGAGCTGGGGTCCTCTATCAGAGGCCTGAGAGCTTGAGGGTCCTGCGCAGTATCTTGGCTGTGAGAATGCAGAGTGTGTGCAAAGCAGTGATCACAGCAAAAGGTTGCTACTTTGAAGAAACTACAATATAAGGCGTATTTTCGGTTATTTAATACTTCTTTGTTTAGTAAGAACAAAGAAGAAGGCATCATAGTTTTGATGCCTTCAGTGTGAATCTACAATGTCAGTAATCATAAAAATAAAGGAAATTCATTGAATGAAAAGGTCACAGCATCAGGTGTGTCCAAACCTTTGGTCTGTACTGTATATATGTTGTTTATCAGACTATAGTTGTGGATTTAAGTATTGTCAGCATTGTCTTCTAATAACATAATTACTGAGTAATATTTTAACATTTCCTGTCAATTGGACATTTTTAACACAAAACCACAGTGGGCCGCTGGTGGGCTCCCTCGACGCCCTAACAAGCTTTCTGGGTGAAATCCTGAATACAGAGTTCATTTACATGTAGCTCCAGTCAAATTTACTTCTATTCCAATTAAAACTTTGTCCACTCAGTCATGTCATGTTTTGTTTCCACCTAAGCCTAACGGCTCATGAACCTCAACAACTGCTGTGACAGATTTTGCTAGCATACTAACTTTTTTTATAGAGATAATGGAATATATTTTTCCATGCTGAAAAAAGCTGTGGTTCAAGATCCTCTTTTATTTTACATGAAGTAAATACAGTTTTGTTTTCTTTTGTTAGCTCAGCTTTGATATGTTGTGACTAATGAGTCAGACAGAATTGTCTGTTGTGCAGGGCTGGTTTGTCCTTTTTTCTGTGCTTTTGTGGGAATGTTATGCAAACCTTTATCTGCTGTAGCCTTCCTGATACAAACTGTGAAAAGTCTAAGTTGGTCTGATTGATGTTTGTTTTGTGCAATTTTACAGTGGAACAGAATAACTGCTGGCAATTGGATTCAGTTTCAAAAGTTCAGCCCTCTGCTTCCATGTTCCCTGACATCCATAGTGCCTCCAGCATGGAGATGCTGGTTGGCAGCCAGAAGAGGAAGGCTCGGAAGTCCAGAATTACACACTTGGTGCGCACGGCCGATGGCAGTGTTTCTGCAGCTGATGGTGAGTTCTCAGGTGTTTCATTTATGAATCATTGTGCTGATGGTCTGGGATTTTAACTTTTAACTTGACCAGCAAGAGGAAAGAAAATGGACTTGTGTTATTGGACTGAGGATTTTCTAGTCATTTAAATAATAATTTTAAAAAGTCAGTGTTGAACACTTGTGATTAATCAGTGTGATTTTCGCAAGTTCTTTTATTTGATGAACACTGTTAACAGACAAGAGCGACAGTGGGCGCCTCCCCTGACCAGCTTTTACTGTGCTAAATTGCCATTGGCTTGCTTAGTCAGGAGTGTTCACCGGGCTCTATGTGGCAACTGGTGGCAAACTGTTGTAACTGCAGTTAAATGCATCTGAGTTCGAGTAGAAGTGCAGCTAAAGAGTATAATCTTTAAATAAGTCTTTAAATAAAGTAAGAAAAATGGGGGGAGTGTAATTATTTCTGATGTCCATTTTGTCACATCAGCATAAATACTGTTGGATTAAATGTAAATTTGAGGCTTCACTATGATTTATGTACTACACTATAAAGTAACCTTTAGCTGTTTCAAGAAACCCGTTTCTTACATATGTTCTCCCTAAACCATCAAATAAGTGAAATGTGTGTTTTGCTAATTTTTAGATATGTTCATATGACTTTTGTCTTATTTATTTATTTATTTATTTTACAGAAAACAAAGCTAGGAATCTAAACCAGGGACAGGATAAGAAGCCATTAAACCAACCGAATTTATGCAATGAAAAACAGTGCTACAGCAGTCCCACAGCAGAGGAAACTGGGCTAAACCCCTTACCACAAGAGTTACCTGCTTTCTTCAGTTTGGCAGCCCTTGCTGAGGTAGCAGCCATGGAAAATGTTCACAGGTAAGAGCTTAGGCTTTCCTCATATACTGTTCAGTAGATGGATAACAACATGAGGTGTTTTGGTGGGCTTGTAATGCTTGTCCTGTCTCATGTCCATATTTCAGAGGCCAGAGAAGCTTAGCTCAAAGCCAGAAGAAAGAACTTGCACAAACTCCAGTTCTCATATCCTGCGCTGATCAGTGAAGTGATACTGCTGCTTCTGGAAGAAGATGACATGAACAGTAGTTGTGAAACTTTGCTTTCCTGAGAGGTCATTTGCTTGGAAGACTTGGACAAACTCCAGACTCTGATTTTGCTTGAATCTAATATATGGGGAAAGAGACCCTCTCCTCTTCTCCCGCCTGCCCCTTCTCTGTTGGTGTCTCAGTGTTTCATCCTGAGTCTCTGTTAGGCTTCAGGTAGAATGCTTGTACCTGCATTGGTCTGGTAGAAAAGGGAGAATTTTCTCCCAGATGCAGATTTTCTCAAAGGATAGCTTTGTGTCTTCAATGGCTGATGTACTTGACATTCAGTGAATTCCCTAAATAAGTGGTGGTCAGTACAGTCCAGTTGTTGAGAAACAAGTAGAGCAGGTAAGGTGGACTTTCAGGTAGACTGTTTTCTCAAACGCACTCGCTGCTTTGAGAAAAATGGTCATAAGAACATTGGAGCTGTTGGTCTGTTGTCGAGCAGCAGGCCAATAGCTCCTGTGTTATGCAAACTAAAATCATCCCTTTGTCAATAATTTTTGGATATAAAGGGGGCCATTTATATACTTCCATCACAGTTTCACATACATCACAACTTGAAGAGAGAGCTTTTAGGTTTTGGAAGGAGCTTTTTGATTGCTTCTTAGTTTTCAGTATCTGCTGCTCAGAAGATCTTCAGCTTGGGCAGAAAAAAGGATTTGAGGATTTGGTTTATCTGTCAGGAATCCTCAGTGATCCTACAATTATTGCAAGCTGTTGCTGCTGTGTACTGCAATGTGACACGGATCACTCCCAACAGCCACATGCACACAAGATCCATCTACACTGATGTGTTCCATCTGTATGGAAATGAAGACATCAACAATGGCACATTTTGTGGCTGCAGTCACTATGTACTGTTTAACACGGCCACTGAAAAGAAACACCTACTATATTTACACCTGATTAGTCTGTGCAAAAAAAAAAAAAAAACAAGCTTTCCTCAAAAAATTTTTAAAGGTGGTTCTGATAGATTTGTTGTATACTGTTATAAGGAAGCCATTTTGGAGGTTAAGTTTGACTGAAAAGACCTAATTTTTGAAACAGGGCTGTGAAAGTGCTTTTGACTTGCAGTCATGTTTGTTGTTTTTTACCTAATGAATAGTTCCTGTACCTCTCTGAACACATTTGTATGTGAAAAGCTTCTTTGCCTCCAGCTTCATCCCAAAATAACTTTTAACCAGGGTAAATGATCATGACAGACTTCCTTTATGTTACTCTTGCAAACAATTTATTTTTTACATATTTGTTAAAACTGTCATTATGTTGTGACAGTATGGTATGAGACAAATAATGTGTGAAAAAAAGAAGGCAGTTCTTCAGCCTTCTCCCAGTGCAAACTACAGAAATACACAGCTCTGTCAAAAACAACCAATTAGAGCCTGAGGGAGGGTCTTAGTGCTGTCAAACACTAGTGTATGCACTGCGCTCCCCCCTGTCCCCTTGCTCTCAACTATGCTCCAACTTGTCCCTGTCAGACCACCTATGATGGCAGATGGCACGGTTAGGTTAGTTGTTTTTTCGCCATCAGCACCATGAGCACGAGGTTGATATGTTACATGATTGATAACTGTTGATATATATATTGATATACAAAATATATACTGATGTCGCTAAGACCTTCCTCCTGGCTCTAATTGGTTGTTTCTACTTGAGAGCCCTGCATTTCTTCAGACAGCAACAGTAACTGTCTGAGTAGGGAGGAGGTGGAGAAGATCAATCTTTTCACTGGCTCATAGTGTACTGTCAGGACATACTGACAGTTTCAACAAATATTTAAAAAACTGTTTTTTCATATAAAAAGACAGCCCAGTTTTAACAACTATTTATTTTGGTGGTATACTAATTAACTAATTAATTAGTCTCCTACTATGTACTATCAATGAGCATTTTATATTTATGAGAAGATATTTTAGTTTAAGCAAAGTTTGTGTCAACTAATGTTGGACTGAATGTTAAGAGAAATGTATTCCCCTATATCTGAACTAGAGTTCATAATAGCAGAGGACTTGCTATTGTTTAATTTTCTCTTCAGCATCCCTGGAAGCCGGCTTCTCAGACCTAAAATCTAGCCTTAACTCTCCCATCTGCATGCTGTTTGCCACCACAAAGTCCTGAAGGAGATTTGTTATCTCAGTTTTAGTATATTTAAACAGTGGAATGCAGTTTTCTCACTACTTGAGAAAAAGATTTTAATTTCTTGTCTGCATAATTTCCACAGAGTATTCACTGCTTGTGTATTCAGTTTCAAACTGCACACATTTGAAATCAAAATGATGAAATTTAAATTCCACATGGAAGAGGAAAGCAATGCCCCAACTAGCCACAGGGTTCTTCTACCACAGTTGTGTCTTTGACATTCTGGATCAAGTTAGCTGTAGTTTCCACATGAAAAAACAGCAGTCTGCACTGTGAGGCAAGTTTTAGTGGCCTTTTGAGGCATCTTCAGGTTCAGTTCATGATTTTGCCTTCTTGTCATCGGTATGCTTGAAATCTTCCCTATTCAAAAGCAGCAGAATTCCACCAATCAGTACACATAACAGGGAAAATGAATAAAATAGACAGCGATATACAACTGTCATCGGGCTTTAGCAGAAACAATTTAAGGTTTGCTCTTTTCTATTAATAGTTTTTTCAGGGCCTAAATCATGGGTCTGCAACGTATTGCTCCTGAGCTGCATTTGGCACTTTGGACATTCCAAAATGGCTTCATAACTTTGGTTAAAGTTATATGTAGATTTTGCAGTTGAAGGTTATGTTAACTCACTGCTGACTGGTCTCTCCAAATTGCTCTTAGTGTGGGTGTGGATAATTGTTCATCTTATGGATGAACATACGGACATATTGCCCAGTGAGGGACTGGAGATCTGTCCAGGGCATACTCTGCCCCTTGCCCAGTAGCTATATTTCCATTACAAATGGACACAAATCTTTGTCTATATAACATAAAAAACCCACAATTTTATAATTGTGTTGTTTCCATTAAATAAGAAATTAAATTTAAATCTTATGTGAATAAGTTTTTAATAACTTCCAACAAGTTATTAAAAGTTATGTCAGTGAAGGATGTAAACAATTAATTGAAATGTAATCATAATTTAACCATGGCCCTAGCCAATTAGTTTATCCTCAGCAGCTAAGGACTGCTGCAGATAACTACCAGGTCTCTCTGTGCAGTACAAGTGAATGGAGATGATGGATAAATGCAACAGAATTAGTAAATTAAACGTTTATTTTATTAGATTATCATCATTATGTATCACGCATCTTTTGGCACAAGTTGTTTTTTAAGTTATTTTACAACTTAAAAATGGAAATAAAATTGTGGTTCTTTAAAAATTACAACAAATGTCAAAATACATATTTATTGAACAAAGTAGGTGGTCTTTTTTCAAAGTTCTTATTTGGACTGATGGCAAAAATAGCTTCTTGGATTTTAAAGTTGCATTCGCCTGACATAGACTGGAGAAGATCTTTTGCAGTCCTACTATGATAAGTAAATATTTAATACTTTAATAAGTGGCAAGAGACCAAAAGAACCTAAACATACACATTTAATTTTTTTTAATAGTATCTAATGAAAAAAATTTACTTGTGCCTTTATATCTCATAATAAGTGATACATTTAGGAATAATAAATATAGCTTTAGCTGTGCAGTGGTTCATTCATTTCATGCATCCATTTTTTTGCATTGTTTCTTTTATGCTAAATTGCTTTTTGGCTTTATTTAATTTTGTTTTATGTTATTATTTATCATGTCAGTCCAACTCTCCTTGTTTTAGATGTACAGTAAGTGTTGATGTGATCAAGTCAGTCTTATACCAGTAAACATCATCCTTACTGTTTGGGTTAGTTTTACCCAATCTACTGAAGAAACATGTTTTATAGTGTAGGGTTGTTTTTAAGTATCAAGATCCAGTGTTTGTTTAGTCTGACTTGTTTCATAATACAAAAGCTAGCTTGGGCTAGTGGAGGCAAGGCATGTAGCTGATTCCTGTTTTTGTTGCTCAAAGTATATATGCATATATATATATATATATATATATATATATATATATATATATATATATATATATATATATATATATGTATATATATTTGTATATGTAAACAGTACTCGATAAGAGTCATTTCATTCCAAAGTCCCTGTTTTTATTTCAGCAATGCAGGTTGTTGTCTTCCCAGATTTTCTGGAATCTTCACAAGCTCATTGATACAGACAGGAAAAAAAAACTGTGTGCAGTTTTTACCATGACCAACAGCCACACCTCCTTCCCCTGGAGCCCTTTGTTCCTCTTTGTGTAGACCAATACTTCCATGACCACATTCTAGATAAAATTTTACTGTAATTTAGATAGATTATGGGTTTTTTTCTATTTTATTTAATATTGTTTCTTTTTTTTTTATATAAAAAAAAGTTGAGGCTGGTTAATACAGTGCATAAACAATACATGAGTCCTGTTAGCCCTGCAGCTGGTGTATGTCTTAAAAATGCTTTTTGCTATGGAATGTGACACAAAATGGGTTTTAGAAACCCTTTTTGATTTCTTAAATCACAATGTTCAGATCTGATAATAATGTTTGTTCATGTCTTTGTTAGTCTGCAAATAACACTGTACTGCAATCAACTGGGAATTGCTCATTTGGGTTTAAAATACAACAGAGTAGCACAATAGACAACATAAAACCAAACTACAGTCTGTCATAATCTTAATAAGAATTGGTATATGGAAATGTATATTTTCAGGTGTAAGAAACTTCCATCATTGAAACAGAATTGAAAAACGTCTGCGCTTTTGTTTTGTTGGAAATAAGGAGTCCCCTGCGCCTGTGTGTCCACATTTACCCTCAACACCCTATCTTCTTAAAGGAATATACCTCCTTACAGCAAGTGAGTTTATTGACATTTGCCAAAGAAAATGAATAGTATCGTTCAAAGGGAAATCCTGTTGGAGGAAATACAAATCATGCTAGCGTAACTGTTGCACTGGAATTTTTAGGTGTTTGAATCTTCAGGTAACATTGTCAGTACAATTCATTGTGATTATCTACTAAAATTATGTTTATTTTTTAATTCAGAGTTTGACTCAACTTCAACACAAGGAATATAAAGTATTTGCACCTTATGACCCAAACCAAAATTATCATGGTCGTTAAACAAAAAATAAATAAAATATTTCATCCACTCAATATAGTTTGGAAATTGCTCCTTGTACCTAAACATCCAGTAATAACTGCACATCTACAGACTAGTCCTTCATCCTCTTGACTTTTCTATTTATAAATGCTTCTTTAAGGTTCAAAATTATTATATTAATTACAAAGATTAATAACTATAATGCCCTTTTGTGCTAGTACTGTCTTCTTGAATGTAATCATTTTCTACTTATATTTTTCTAATTCAGCCTTGATTGTACCGTAGGTATGCTATGACGGTATACTGTTGCTTCTGTGCATATTTTGTTCTGACAATTATTGTAAGGACAGCTGCTGCACTGTGAATTTGGTGGAAGTGTGATGAGTACGCCCAAACGACTTCTTGGAGCATGTGAGGATTCATGAAACTGACAACTATTGACTGTTGCATTGAGTTTTGGGGTAATCTTTCTCTGGTTTGGTTTGAATGTGGGGACAATCCTGCAAGTAGAATATTTGTGTGTGAGTTTTAGCTTATTTATAGCTCTTCAAAGTTTAGTCAAATTTCAAACAGAGAAAAAGCATTATATGTATTAGCTTATCATGTATGAGATCATTCGTCCTTAACTAGAATGTAGATTACACCTTCCTTATTTTAACCTAAGTTTGCAATGATGGTTTTCAATGCCTACCTAACTGATAAATTGTAGCTCAATTGACATTATTAACCATGTGCTTGCCATACATTATGTAAACAATGTTCTTCATGATGTGCTACTTTGATTGTTAAAGCCCAATTTGTTTAGTGCTGCCTTGCCTTACTGTATTCCTATTGTATTGTGGGATTCCCCTTCTCCTTATCAAGCCCACATTGCTGTCAGAACACTGTTTGATGACACAACTATTCCTTGTACAACACCTATTAAAATAACTTCTGTTAAACCTGTCTGTGTGTGAAAGAAATTTTATGTATCTATATCAATTGTCGTGGCCATTTATGTAAAATTTTGTGAATTATAATTTGTAACAATTTAGTTTTCTTTTTTTGGGTAGTTAAAATATATTTAAGTTGATTTAGAATCAACATTTGTAATAATTTTTGTATTTGGAATTGTTTAGAGTAAGACTATGTTAATTGTTAGACCCTCCCATTAATTTGAGTAATTAAAAACACACCGGGTGCTGGGTGGGGGAGAAATTTGTTTGGTAAATCTCTGGTGTGTTGAGGGGAGGTTGTAAATGATTTTTTGACCACTTTTCTGGAGCATTTTTGTTGGACACCTTTTTAAGATTAATTTTCATTTTGACTACGTTTATCATGTATGAGACTTTATTTATTTATTTTCTGTCACTATTTTTTTCCAAGAAATAAATTATATTTTTTACAAACATTCCAGAAGTGCGTTCAAATCACACCGCCTCTTAACACCCACAGCCTTGGTTGGAAATTTTGTTTTTTTGGAGAAATAGAAGGCCGTGACATCAGTTTTATTTGATTTTGTTTTGGTAACTGTTGGTTAAGGCTGAAGTATGTAACTTACAAAAAAAGGTATTTTGCAGACTTCTTAAAACTATCACTGTATCATAACAGTATAATATGAGACTGATAATCTGAAAATTATCAGATGGAGCTCCATCAATTTTCCTCGTGTATACTCTAACACATACACCAGGTGTGTATGTCTAACATACATATCTAATATGCCACACATATCTTAAAGCTCTAGACTAAAAAGTATAGAGCTCTGGTGAATGTATACCTAAGAAGTCTAGATCTCAGAAAATTAGGGATAAGGTAAAAGGATCAGGTGGAGACAGTCCTAGCCTGTTTGGCACCCTGGTCGAACCGCCTTTCCGGCACTGCCCTCCCCCTCCACAAAGTTGTTGATGCAGGTGGGAGGTCTGGGGCGTTGCAGGCCGTTGGGATGAGGATGGTTTGCATTAAGCACTACTGACATTCAGATCCTCTGAACGGGTTCGGGGGGGATTTGAGGGGCAATGGGGGTGCACTTATGTCGTTGCTGTCCAGGTCGGTTGCCAATGTCACCCATATCAGAACCCGCCACTGGCCTCGTGATGAAGAGATATCAAATAGGTTATTTCTAAGCCAAATAACCTATTTTAATAATCCCTCAGATTGATTGCATTCCAGAGAGATGATTCCACTTTAAAACCCTGGTTTGAAAGGGTGGCAGGGGTGGAGGGAACTCATCAGGGCCAGGTAGACTTCCTGGAAAAATTAGTTTACAAACTTAAAGAAGGTATCTTGTATCAGAAGAAGGGAAAGTATGAAGTTTCAGGCACAAAGTTATGGAGCTGGATAATTGGATTACCTGGGTCGGCCATATGATTTTTTCACAAGACACTCAGTAGAATCAGCAGCTATTTTGTTTGGCCTTCCTGTGAGATGTTGACTTGAGGTAAATTATTCAGTGAATGTCAGCTACAACCACTACCAATCACTGAAACAGCTTGTGTGGGCTCATTAGAAAGGAGATTTAATGATCTCCTTTCTAATGACGACAGGTCGTCATTGGTAATATTTAGATATTACTAATATCTGAGGTCTTTGCACTCAGACCTATTGATATCTGTCATGTTGCTAACTCATACCTTTCAAGTCTCACATTTAACTAACATATTTTACCTCTCTGTCTCAGCGTGCCCCCTTATTAGCATTTTCCCATAAATTTCCCATATTAGAATAATTATGTCAACACCCTTCCTCCTGCAGCTTTTCTCTAGAGTAGGAATTTCTAAAAAAAAAAGTCTTACAGATTGTGGGACAAACATTTTGTCCAAATTAATGCAACAGGTTTACATGTTGCTATAGGAAGTAAGGGACTTTTCACCCCCAATTAGACGGGCTTGTGGAATAATATAAACACTCTCAAAACTATGCTGCACAAGTTTTGTTTCTGACACAAGTTACCTGTTTGCTTGTCAGGAGGTTCCACAGATTTCTCACACTTCAAACTATCTATGGCTGCCAAGTAAGACACCCTTGGCAGTCCTACTGCTGATCTGCAGTAGGACTGCAGGTAAGACCCAATGTCAGAGGATGAAAACAATGAAGCATTTTGGGCAATGTGAGAGCTAAATTTCTCTAAGAGAGAGAGATAGCAGGAAATGGCATTATTTGCACAAGACAACATAAAAGCAACCCAACAACATAAGAAGACCTGATATGATCAGAAGGTCAGAAACAAAAGGTTCTGTTACTGTGTCCCGCCATCAGTAACAAGCTGCTGATGTAATACTTACAATGTGATTACAGTAAGTAGAACTCACAATAAGACCAGTGCTAGGGGCAGCTACGGGACTAGTGAAATGTGTGGGTGTATTAATGACCACAGGCCAGAAAATACTATTTCATAATATTTTGCTTAATCCTTGTTTTGACATTTAAACCTAATGTTAGGTATTAAAGATTATTATTTATTCAATCTAAGTTATTTAATTTCCAGTTAATACTGTTAATATACTTTGATTTCCAGTTTTTTATATTTTAAGTCTATTTGAATTACTTAGTATTGTTTTCAAGAAGTTAAGGTTTTTAATTTACTGTTTTAATCATTTGTTTTTATTTTTTGTTTTTATGTTTACATTTCATCATACACTAATACAATGACTATTGAATGTGGTTTGAAGAAAAAAAACAATAAAATACAACAGAAAACAATTCACCAAAAGACTGAATAACCTGTGCTTTAAATGTCATGTCTTTTCTCTCTGATTATTCTGAAGGGTTAATCCTGTTTCTCTGACTCCACTCTTTTCAGCAGCAAACATGGGTAGGTCATACCAGTTTGGATGATCCAGCAGAGGGAGTAGCAGAATCCCAAGGGTGCCTTGGGGTACAGGTCGCCATCTTGT